TGCACCTCGAGGCTAACCAACTTACAATAAAGCTCACTAAACACGACTATTTCCCCCCCCCCCCCTCTCTTACTTTTTCACAAACGGCCTTCTAACTTATCTACAGATTCCGTGTCACGAACAACATTACATACGTGTTGACCAGACCACACACTAGAAATTGAAGGGACGACGACGTTTCGTTTCAATCGACTTGAGAATGGTCCAGGACGGACCGAAACGTCGTCGTCCCTTCAATTTCTAGTGTGTGGTCTGGTCAACATACTTCAGCCACGTTATTGTGACTCATCGCCTGCATTACATACGTGATCATGATGATATCTCAACTCCAAATCCCCTATTGCCATCCATGTTTACCATGTGAATTTCCCTCCCATGTAACATTAGCTCTGGTTGACCGCTCGAGGGCTGAGCTGCCTCTTGTAACACTGACCCTCGACACGAATGCTAAACCTATGCTATTGTTAGCGGAAGATTCGTGCTTCAGCGGCCCTATTCTGAAGTTACCTGAAGGGATACTATCTTTCTAGTGGTCTCGACGAGGACAGGACGCCGGGGGCTTGTCGAAGGTCACCCTATTTGTCCTGCTTTGTCGTACTGTTTCTAACTTATAGCTACTACTTCGCTGTAAAATTGTATTATCATTGTTGGTTGATAAAACTGACTAGGAAAATAATGTTTAGGAACTTTAGGAAAATAATCCTAATTTTCTCCTTGGGAAATAATATTCATTTGTATATTACCGTTTACATTAATTATACAATTAAATTCGCTCTCTGATACTTGTGTGAGAGGTAGTTTGGCATTGTTTTATTTATAAATGCCCATGTAAGCTTCATTATGCAGCTTACATGTAAGCTTCAGTATGCAGCTTACATGTAAGCTTCAGTATGCAGCTTACATGTAAGCTTCAGTATGCAGCTTACATGTAAGCTTCAGTATGCAGCTTACATGTAAGCTTCAGTATGCAGCTTACATGTAAGCTTCAGTATGCAGCTTACATGTAAGCTTCAGCATGCAGCTTACATGTAAGCTTCAGTATGCAGCTTACATGTAAGCTTCAGCATGCAGCTTACATGTAAGCTTCAGCATGCAGCTTACATGTAAGCTTCAGCATGCAGCTTACATGTAAGCTTCAGCATGCAGCTTACATGTAAGCTTCAGTATGCAGGATACACGTCACTGGATCTTTGCTTGGGGGCAGAAGAACACCTTCCTGAAGTGCACAGCTCAAGAGGATATGAACTATGTAAATAGGTCAACCCATTACGTAATACACACTGTGAGGGGTACCCAGCTTCACGGTGTATATACACTGAGGTGTACTCAGCTTCTCGGTAGCTGAGTACACCTCACTGACAGCTTACTAATTGGTCAGTAAGCAATTGTGGTAGCCTTAATAACCCTCCAGAGGTTCATGGGCCTGAGGCTCAACACCAAATCAATCAACCCAAAGAAGGAAAACAAATCCAACACAATGTAAGGTTGTTCAGCACCTCGCCCACTCAATCCTCTCTCTCTCTCTATCAGCCCTAAGGTACCTTAAACCTGTTTGTGATGCTGAAGGGCTGGGCTGACCCGGAGGGCAAGCCTGGTGGAAGATGCTCTATTAAGTCTGAGTTGTCTTGGCAGCGAGGAATCATCAGCTGTTCAGACGTGTTGACATTTGCAGTTCTGAATGATCTACAGGTAGCTGCTATTGGAAGATTGAGAGGAAAGAGGTTATTTAGAGAATAAATAAACCCTGTGACACCCCATTTTTTTGATGGAGTGTCACAGGGTGTCACTAATCATAATTTGATTATGTCAATAAGTCAGTAAGAATGGAAATAAGACTAATATTCTACATCTTAAACTCTCATTGGCAGATTCATTACATGATATGAACTGTCGTTAATTCAGGCGTCATGACTATTAATCTCTATTTGTAAACAACTTTGAGGATCACTTCAAACCCTCTGCAAGTTTAGCCTAATTTAAGTGTAAAACAACTGAGCAATTATGTGCTGCTTGTAGTTTAGAGTCTATCGTCTCACACCATCAACCAATATAAGGTGATTGTAAGATCCTTACATTTTAATATGATAATGAGAGAGAGAGAGAGAGAGAGAGAGAGAGAGAGAGAGAGAGAGAGAGAGAGAGAGAGAGAGAGAGAGAGAGAGAGAGAGAGAGAGAGAGAGAGAGAGAGAGAAAACACACACACACACACACTGGTAGCTAAGTGGACAGCGCGTAGGACTCTTAATTCTGTACCCCGGGTTCGATTCCCGGGGCCCAGGCAGAAACAAATGGGCAAAGTTTCATTCACCCTAAATGCCCCTGTTACCTAGCAATACATAGGCACCTGGGAGTTAGACAGCTGTTACGGAGCTGCTTTCTGTGTGTGTGGGTGTGTGTGTGAAAAAAATTAGTAGTTAGTAACAGTTGATTGACAGTTGAGAGGCGGGGCGAAAGAGCAAAGTTCAACCCCCGCAAGCACAACTAGGTGAATACACACACACACACACGAGGCGGACCCAAAGAGCCAGAGCTCAACCTCCGCAAGCACAAATAGGTGAGTACACACACACAAAGACAGCATTCAGACTACAAATTTGTAACACGTCGAATGATCCATTACTAAAGTTATTATAAATATATAACAAAGTTAATACTTTTTTAAACATATTTCACACCAATAATAACAAATAGGTTCCACTTCCAGCAATTGCAATAATTTCTGCAGTCCCATCACCAGTGCTCTGGAGGAGGCCTAGAACCATTCAAATTCTAAATACACTCCCACGTGTTGTGGACCAATTAACATACATTTTTGATATATTGTTTTATTTTTATAAGCTCTACTTACTCTCCGTGTAGGTAAGTGAGCAGCAGATGTTACGGCTTATTCAAGAATTAGTATTGCTTTAGGTTCAATAACTTTTTGTTTTTTGTGCGATATAGTTTAAATATGTTTAATATTTGGACTAACGTGCTTATAGCTACAACTTCTTCGATATTCTACTACACTTTCGGTCACAATCTTTCTTCACCACCACACTACCACACCTTATATACCCTACCACTCCACAAGCCCTAAAGTCACCAACACTCCACAAGCCCTAAAGTCACCAACACTCCACAAGCCCTAAAGTCACCTACACCCCACAAGCCCTAAAGTCACCAACACTCCACAAGCCCTAAAGTCACCAACACTCCACAAGCCCTAAAGTCACCTACACTCCACAAGCCCTAAAGTCACCAACACTCCACAAGCCCTAAAGTCACCAACACCCCACAAACCCTAAAGTCACCAACACTCCACAAGCCCTAAAGTCACCTACACTCCACAAGCCCTAAAGTCACCAACACTCCACAAGCCCTAAAGTCACCAACACTCCACAAGCCCTAAAGTCACCAACACTCCACAAGCCCTAAAGTCACCAACACTCCACAAGCCCTAAAGTCACCTACACTCCACAAGCCCTAAAGTCACCTACACTCCACAAGCCCTAAAGTCACCAACACTCCACAAGCCCTAAAGTCACCAACACCCCACAAGCCCTAAAGTCACCAACACCCCACAAGCCCTAAAGTCACCAACACCCCACAAGCCCTAAAGTCACCAACACTCCACAAGCCCTAAAGTCACCAACACCCCACAAGCCCTAAAGTCACCAACACTCCACAAGCCCTAAAATCACCAACACTCCAAATGTCCTGAACTACACTACACAATTAACCTAGTTTGTACCTTTGCCACACCTCTTGACCTCACAACACGCCACCAACACCTTCGTCAACCCTCAAATAAACCTTATGAATACACAATAAATCCCACTACACATTCACACACTCAAGATCCTATTACACATTCACCATCACCCGTGCCTCACTACACCTCACCATCATTCACCTCCACTACACCTTGACCACCATCACTTCTACTTTCAATCGTCAACCTTCCACTACACGCCAAAGCCAGAAGTTGAATTCCTCATCCGCACTGATGGGTAACCACTGATAGGCAACTACCAGCCACACTACAAACCAATATATCTCCATAATTGCAAGAGCCGGATGATTAACGTCCAAAAATAAAGGGAGTCAACAGGGTGAGCATCGAACCCCACCCTGTTTACTGCCGCTCTCACTCCCAGGACGGAGGAGGAGGTGGGTGGGGGCTGCCATGTTGATCACCCTCGCCTCGCTTAACTGTTATAACCAATTACTTGATCTAAACGCATATAAGACTCAGTTGGCGTTCTCTCCGCGTTCAACTCCGGCGGCTGCACTGGCCAAAAGGCGTCGGTTGTGAGGTCCAACGGCTTTTTAAGTGAAAATATGTATAGTCGCCGGAAATGAGGTCAGGAGGGAGGAAAAAGGAGTTTTGTCTAAAAGTCGAACGCCAACCGGGACGTGGGAAGCGGTTACCCCCTTTTGTACAATCAGGGATAAGAATCACTTCCTCGGCTTTGATGGTCAACAATGTGGTTCGGTGGAGCGCACGTGGCCAGGCTAACCTTTGGCTGCAGGTGCGCGGCTTGGAGGCTCGGTGGTGGCTGCAGGAAGTAGCAGCCAGGAACTGAGGCCGTGCGACCCTCCACGCCAGGTTCCGGGATCCTTACCTCTCCTGCAGCCGCTGTCACCGTCCCCTTTGCCACCCCAAGGGTCCCTGAGGGACTCCGGAGACGGAGGCGTCGCCCTCCTTGCTACTGGCTCCTTTTATGAAGACTTTTGTTGTGAAATGCACTATTTTTGCGGTGTATCGTTGGCAAACGAAAAATGACGCTATTGGCGGAAGGTGTAGATGGAGCGTGCGAGGATTGGTCGTCGGTGGGATGCGGCCACGCCCCACGCGAGGGGTGGAGCCAGCCTGGCCCCACCCCGTGACCCGCTGACCCGTCCTCGTCTGCGCATGCGTCGCCACCTGCACACTTGTGAATGATAGCAAAAGTGAGCGGGGTGGGGGGAACGGCGTGGCAGGCGCGCCATTCCCCTGTGAAATGAGCCGTTAGTCAGAACGGTACCATCGTGGCGAACACACGTGTAGCCCGGAGCAGCTAGCCCAGGCTCTACGTCGCCGCCACCGCCCTCCACACACACACACACCCGCGAAAGTGATATTTCCACATTGTTGGCCGGCCAGTTTTTGCTGCGCGTCCGTGGTGGCAGTGCTCGCGGACCAACGCCTCACTCCGTCCCCGCCCGGGTCCGCAGCATCACCTCCGCCTCTCCGACTCCGTCTAGTCAGCCTGGTGGTGCCCGGCCAAGGGTACTGCCTTCGGCACTCCCACCCCCACCCCCCCACTGCCACCCCCGCCTGCGTCACTTAGGTCTACCTGTGACGTCACATTGCACAGTGCCCTACACTAAGGCACATGTACATGGCGCCCTCATTACTCAGTGTAGGACTTGAAGTAGACAGAAGTGGAGCGTGTTCCGTCTCTGCCCAGTGTTAAGACGGTGCAATAAGAGTGACAGTTGCAGGATACTTAGCCCCCATCAGTGCCTCGCAAGTGTTCACCTCCGGGCAGTGTGCATACATAACCAGCACAACCTCACTCCTTATATAGAAACTTACATTATTGCTTCCGTCCAACGCTGTTTATTATGAAGTGACCCGACGCGTATATGCTCTAGAAACCTGCGCCAGCGCACACATCAACATGGATATTACCTTGACAAGTCTCTGTAAATGAACGTGAACACAAGCCCCGCTGTGACTGCCAATGTGCTGCTTGCTGCGTGCCTCCATGCTCCTTGTTGAAGGTAAGACCAAACTCTTCTTGCGACTCCTGCACCTCGCCTCGGCGCGCAAGAACGCCATCGCTCTTTAAGAGCCGCGCTCAACTTCAAGAACTTCATTACAATTTCTCTGGTAGGGGCGCTTGATACCTAGCCATTGTGGACATGTAAATACAGACTACCTCAAAGTGTACCATCAAACATAACGATAACTAGTGTGCTTAAGCTGTCATTTACCGTCAATGACAGGTTCTGGCGGGAGTCGATTATTTGGGCCCCTATTCTTTAAATATATTTCCCTGACTAGGCAAGCCATTACAACTTGTTTCTGCTACACTTAAAGAGAAGGATGCAGTCAATCTTAGCAACATTGAAGAATTTCAGCAGCTCGGCGTCTTGATTTATATATATGTAGGATGTGCTTGAGTGCCTCTGAATATAATCTTTACCTTTCCTAGAGTTTGAGTGCCTGTCAGGCCCAACAGAGGTGCTAATGAGTTTGTTCACGAATTCTGTGATCAGGGAGCAATGTGAATAGGATTATCTTTTTCTATGAATAGCCATATTTCTTTTTAATATCTAGCGTTGGTTTATTCACATGGTCTATGACTTTAAGATAATTTATAATCGCCTTAGCTACTGTACTCGCCTAGTTGTGCTTGCGGGGGTTGAGCTCTGGCTCTTTGGTCCGACTCTGGCTCTTTGGTCTGTGCAAAAGTACTCAAGTTTGTAGTAGTACTACCATAACTATTTCAGTACAGTACTAACAAGATTGATAATCTGGATGTAACAAGTTACAGTATTATCAGGTAGCAATATTTATTGACAGTCACGTGTCTACAACAGTGACAATAGCCTACCAGGAAATACTTGGATTGTATCAACAATGTTTTGAAACTTAGAAGTATCTGATGCATGATTATAGGCCTATACACATCGTACAACTACATTTTTAACTGTCAATCACATTTTAATTGAATAATATATTGAAAAATATATTGTCTATATAACTATAATAAATGTCTAATCTATATTTAGTGACTTTCAGTGTGACATTTTTTTCCATGCTGTGTATTTGTAAAGAAAACACAAGGACATTAAACGAGATAAAAGGTGTTTAACTCATTTAATGCTGATGTGTTAACAGGTATTGTCTTAAACATTGGCAGATGTTTTATATGACAGATTAAGCCACAAATGTGTATCACATCTCTGCTTTTACGTGAAGACTCTAGGTTATGTTGATTTCGTACGCAGCTGAGTACATTTTGTACGAAGGTGGAGTGAATTTTGTACATAGTACACGGTACATTTTGAACACGAGGTACATTGTGTATGCGCAGTACGCTTTGTACACAGGAAGTACATTTTGTACGACGGTAAATTCATTTTGTGCGAATGGGAATACATTATACACACAGGGGGGGGGGTACATTTCGTACTAACGGGAGGGAAGGAATTATCAGGGGAAAATGACATGCCATTACGAAAATACAGCACTTGGAAGGGGGTCAAGATAAGGATTGGAGTACATTTGCCAGAAGAGTTCATATAATAATCTTCGAAGAGTGTAAACAGGCAACAGTTCTTTCAGACAGTAATGTGTGTTACTGATGCAATATAAAATATTTAATGGCAATTATACTTAGCCTAAGTTGTATATATTGCTCTATATAAGAACTAAACCGTAATATAGGAATATAGGCCTACTGGGGACCTCAAGGGATCCATTACTTATCGAAAAAAAGTAGTAAAGGCAAGAGTCTAGTTTGAGATCGAGCCTACTTCAGGAAAATATCACTAGAAGTCGCACCAGACGACCCTTATATGTGTGGGTAGCTGATACGTCGAGGTATTAGACATTATTACCTCTAGTACCAGACCAATACCACACTCTTCGTAAGAGTGCACACACTCACCAATGTTCTTCATTCTAGAGTACTCATGTTCACTATAGTTCAGCAGTCTTAGTAGGTCAAACATTGATCAAGACCAGCGGTAATGGTTTGATACAGCAGGTGTAGGACGCCCGGGGGTTGGATACACAGTAATGCAGGTGTAGGAGTAGCCCGGGGCAAGTGTGGGAGGGGCTCCCGGTAGTAGAGGGCCTGAGGCAGCTGTTCTAGGGGGGAGGGGGGTCAGGTAGTAGAGAGAGAGGTCCGGATAGGTGCACGAGGGGACTTGGTAGGTACAAGAAGGGTGCGGGGGCACCAGGAGCAGCTGTGGGGAGAGGTCCCGGGGAAGCTGTACCAGGGGGCCCCTGGGCAGGTGTAGGAGGGTCCCGGGGAAGCTGTACCAGGGGCCCCTGGGCAGGTGGAGGTCCCGGTAGAAGTAGGAGGGTACCAGGAAGCTGTACCAGGGGCCCCTGGGCAGGTGGAGGTCCCGGTAGAAGTAGAAGGGGTCCCGGGAAGCTGTACCAGGGGCCCCTGGGCAGGTGTAGGAGGGTCCCGGGGAAGCTGTACCAGGGGCCCCTGGGCAGGTGTAGGAGGGTCCCGGGGAAGCTGTACCAGGGGCCCCTGGGCAGGTGTAGGTGGTGGTACCCTGGAGGGGGTGTAGAAATGGCTTCAGGCTGTAGTTAAACACATCTTTTTTTCCCCAATGCTTGAACCGATCAAAAGCAGCCAAGTGTGAAGAGAAATCCGAGGCGTAACCTGTGTTTATGTGTTTTCAGGGTGATGAATAATTTCTAGCCCATCATTTTAAAACTGATAATCACACTAGCTTGGCAAGGTATACAAAATAAAAGAATTGGGTTTAATCCCGTTGAGCTATACTGCTAGGAGGAGGAGGGCAGTCTCGAAATGCAGATTTAAACGAAGATTAGATTGCGGGAAACATCCGGTCTTCCACACTGGGTTGTATCATTCACTCTACCACAGTGGGTTGTATCATTCACTCTGTCACAGTGGGCTGTAACAATCTACCACAGTGGGTTGTAACACTACCACAGTGGGCTGTAACATTCACTCTACCACAGTGGGCTGTAACATTCACTCTACCACAGTGGGTTGTAACATTCAATCTACCACAGTGGGTTGTAACATTCAATCTACCACAGTGGGTTGTAACATTCACTCTACCACAGTGGGTTGTAACATTCACTCTACCACAGTGGGTTGTAACATTCATCCTACCACAGTGGGTTGTAACATTCAATCTACCACAGTGGGTTGTAACATTCAATCTACCACAGTGGGTTGTATCATTCACTCTACCACAGTGGGATGTAACATTCAATCTACCACAGTGGGCTGTAACATTCAATCTACCACAGTGGGTTGTAACATTCATCCTACCACAGTGGGTTGTAACAATCTACCACAGTGGGTTGTAACACTACCACAGTGGGCTGTAACACTACCACAGTGGGCTGTAACATTCAATCTACCACAGTGGGCTGTAACATTCAATCTACCACAGTGGGGTTGTAACATTCAATCTACCACAGTGGGGTTGTAACATTCAATCTACCACAGTGGGTTGTAACATACAATCTACCACAGTGGGTTGTAACATACAATCTACCACAGTGGGTTGTAACATACAATCTACCACAGTGGGTTGTAATATTCAATCTACCACAGTGGGTTGTAACATTCAATCTACCACAGTGGGTTGTAACATTCATCTACCACAGTGGGTTGTAACATTCATCTACCACAGTGGGTTGTAACATTCATCTACCAAAGTGGGTTGTAACATTCATCTACCACAGTGGGTTGTAACATTTATCTACCACAGTGGGTTGTAACATTCATCTACCACAGTGGGTTGTAACATTCATCTACCACAGTGGGTTGTAACATTCATCTACCACAGTGGGGTGTAACATTCATCTACCACAGTGGGTTGTAACATCCATCTACCACAGTGGGTTGTAACATTCATCTACCACAGTGGGTTGTAACATTCAATCTTCCACAGTAGAACACATCCAATCTACCACAGTAGAAACATCCAATCTACCACAGTAGAAACATCCAATCTACCACAGTAGAAACATCCAATCTACCACAGTAGAAACATCCAATCTACCACAGTAGAAACATCCAATCTACCACAGTAGAGAGTAACACCCAATGATAATTCCCTGATACTTCCCTTCCTTCCTTCCTTCACTCCTTTAAAACAAAAATGTTATCGATGGCAAAAAACAAAATAGCTTAGCATTAATGATATCGAGCTTACAGGTGTTGAGCGCAGTGTACAGTAGGTGAATGTGTGTGTTAATTTCATATTAACTAGGAAAATCCCAAATTACAGGACTTTGAAACTATTTTGTGTTATTAATCTGGATGACGGGAAGCTGCGAATGTGAAGTAATTATCAAAAGACTGGCAAGTCTAGAGGACTGAGTTGAAATTGAATTGAAATAAGTTTATTGAGGTAAAATACACACAAAGGGATGAGGTAGCTCAAGCTATTCTCACCCCATTAGGACTGAGTAGTAATAGGATACTAATACCTTCTTGAGTAAGCTACGGCCGTTCGTGAGAATCGTTAGTGAGTAAGCTACGATATGAGACTATTCTCACTACAATAAATATTGAATCGAAATACAGTCTAGTAAGATTGATTAAAGAGCAGCTTAAGAGAAACAGACAGGCACCACATCTCGGAAATGTATGAATGATTAAGAGTCTGCCGGTTTCCTAAATACCGTAGCGAGCACAAACGTGTTGGAGATTCAGAAAATAGTACAGTCCTGGTGTTTACGAAGGCCAGGATTATGAAGATCTACTTCTGCCAATCGGCTATTCACAGATCTTCAACAACAACCAGTTCATATTTCCCTTATCCCCCCCCCCCCCTAGTCAATAATATTCGAGTTATCTCCCTGCAGCATTGTTGTTAAAGATTCACTACCTGGAACAAAAAGTTCCAAGTAACACGGGCTATGGTGAGCCCGTAGATAGTTCCTTGCAGCAGCTAAAGACTTCAAACAAGTGTTTACGCAGATTGACTTGGTTGCTATTTCTGTGTTTAGAAACATGATTAATAATGTTTTCTTCGTGTTTCATATT